TGAAAGCAGTTTGGTATAGCTGGGGAACTCACCAATGCAGTTGTGGGGGAGAATGTAGAGACAATGGATCACTTGGGGTTGGAGTTTAAAACTCTAGGCCTAAACCAGGCAAGAAATAGTAGTGAGACGAATCAAGGAAGTGAGAATGAAGACACCAGATCTCCAGCTTGAGGGAGATCTGATGTAGTCTTTATATTCAGCAGGATCAAAGAGAATATCGGCTTCTAACCATCTAGTTGTTTTAAACCAGACAGGTCTCTCCGTAAGTTCTAATGTATGTTCGACTGAAAGGCAAGTGTCTCTCAGCTATAGCACTGATAAATGATATATAACACCTACACCCAGCACAGAGAAGCTGTTTTTTTTCCATACCTGAGCACCTCACAGAGGTCCTCTGATAATCCTCAACCCCCATTTTAGGGTTATAAGGAGGTTTTTAGTTGTTCATTTCCTACCTCTGTTATCATTCAGGGGCCTGACCCTGAGTAGATCTGCTAGAGCCAGGCAGTAGTGTGTGGGTTTTTGAATTCATGCAGAAAAAATTTCATGGCACAAGCCCAGGTGACTAAAAGTGTATGTTTATTAAAGTTGGAAACAGTAAAACAGGGAAAGGCTTAGCACAGAAGAAACAATAGGAGAGCCCACGCTAGGCAGCCTTCACTCACTGGGAAATTCGAAAAAGGGGCCTTGGGGACAGATTTAGGGGACTAGCCTGGGATGAGCTGCTGCTGCCCATTGCTTCTCTGGTTGCAAGTCTTGTGGGGACTCTTGGAGTTTAGGAGATGCATGCCTGTGGGGAAGAAGACAGAGAAGAGAATGCCATAGGCTGCTCCCCAGAGAAAGAGAACACACGCTGGGCCCTTTGTCTTGAGGCTTTTATCTTTCTCTTGTGGATGAGAATCTTAGGAGAGGTCTCAAGGGAGGTTTTCAGGAGAATATTCATCAGTTTTTCAGGTATGCTCTTTCAGGGTTGTGATCTCTACTGACTGGTAAGTGCCAAGGCAGGGTGTCGTTAGTTATTGCAGCTGGTCCTGCTTTGGCTGCTTCTCTGGACCTGGAGCTGAAATATAACTGAGGCCGGGATGTCATCTTTAGGGAGGTTACTTTCTCTTTATCTGGCTGTAAATTGCGTGGTCACTTTGTTCAGCTGTTTGTTTCAGTTCCCCTATTCTACTTGCCCTGGCTTATTGACATGTCACATCTCCATACCTTGTATTGTATTTTAAGAGAAAAGTAAATTTTTTTTTAAAGCTAAAGTACTCTCCTGGGTTATCTAAAATCCCTGGGGATTTTTTAAAGTTCAGTTAAGAACCACAACTTTTATTGACCACTTACTGTGATAAACAGTGGGGATCAAAGGACATGACTAAGTTCATACTTGACTGTTGGGAACTCACCACCTGCTAGGGGATTGCAACATCGCACCATCCAATCACGCACAGGATGGGGAAGGCATCAGATGATGTTCTGTGGAAGATCCAGAAAACCCTATCTTGTGAAAGTGAAAGTACTTCTGGTGAGCTTTTTAGTCTCAGTTCCTTTTTCACTGACGTAGATAGGAATACGTATGTGTGCGCTTACCTGGTAAAAAATATGACAGAGATTTTCAGAAGAAAGAGAAGATATGAAAAAATTGTGATAAAATAGTCTTAGGACTCTGAAGAATCTCTAAGTTTCCATGACACCTTAAGACCCATCAGCTGCTGCCTTCATTTGGGGCTGGGGAGAGGCTCCCAGGTCCCCTTCATGTATAACAAAATCATCTTTATAGACCAATGGCCCTCCCTTTGCTTTGTTTGGGTCACTGGCCCCATGATATTCCAATAAAGCTGAAAATCTTCTCCTTGGGGAGGAGGGGTGGGAATTCTCATCCAAATTTTCTCATCAAATTAGAGAAATTGTTTTTTCCTCCAAAACTCTACATGGAATTCATGGACTCCCTGACACCTATCTGTGGAATCCCATTTAAGAAGCTGTGCTCCCCGCTGAACTCTCAGAAGGTAGGGAACAGATGGGGATATCATCATTCATTTTTTATTTCCATCTTCTGGCAGAGGGTCTGACAAAATTTTTTTTAACAAACAGCAAATAGTAATAATAAAACTGGTATTTATCCTCTAACATGCACTATGTGCTTACTAATTGCAAACTTGTTGTCAAACACAGTATAGTTAGTGAAGTTCACAACCACCTTTGAGGTAGATTTTATTATCTCCCTTTTGCAGATGAGAATCAGGTCAGAAAAGTTGTATAACTTTTTAATGGCGTAAGTTCAGAAGTGATAAAACAAAGTTTCATACCCAGACATACTGTCACCAAAATCAGTGCTTTTCACAACTAGTTGGGGAAGAAATAAATGAATGAATTAAAATCTTTTTCAGGTGTCACAAACCTAGCAGGCCAAGGTTTAAGTTGTAACTTTCTTTAAATTCTTCTTAAGTACTTACCTAAAATTAGCTAGGAGATATTAACTCAGATTTTCTATAGTTCAAATTCACAAGAAAAGAATGTATACTAAGGGGAAAAATGCCACAAAATCTTAGATTTTCCTATTCTATAGGTTCTGAGTAGCTTCCAGGAGTTACTCATTACCAGAAAATACCCCATAGGCTTTCCTATTCACCCGTTGTTACTAAAAATAAAAAAATCTGTCCAGTGATTACAAAGGTAAAAGTTCCAAATACCTAAGATAAGCAAATATCACCAATGAGTTATTTTTAAAGGTAGATCGCAGATTCCTCCAAGTCTACTAACATTTCCCAATAGAGAAATGTACACTATTGGTAGATTTTTGACTCGATTTTCCTTCTCAATTGGTATTTTCATTGTAATTTGTTGCTGCTGTATTGTCCTCATTTTTAGTTCCTTATTACTTTCATTTAAGTTCTCCCTAACCTATACACTTGATGAGCTTTCTATAAAGAAAGCGGGAAAGATATTAAAAATAACAGGATTTTCCAGGTGGGTTCTCCCAAGCTCTCGGTTCTCTCATTAGAATAAAGATTTTACAGTTACATCTGTGTGGTTCTTTAAAAAAAGGTGGGGGGAGAACAAGGGACATAAAGGGGAAAGATAAAAAGGAGTTTGATATACGCCATCGCTCTTCCCCCAGCACCATGCACATGCGCAGTGCCATTACGGGTGGTGCAGAGACCTGAGGTGAAGCTGAGTGGCAGTGCACCAGAGCAGTCCAACCCGCTGTAAAGCCTCACCTTTCCTTCCCAGGCTGATGATGTCCTCCCCTGTAAATGTGCCCAGCTAAAAGCATTCTTCCCATATTTACATATCGTATTACATGTCGTTGAGATTCAATCAGTGAACAAGAATTAAGAAAAGCACACACAACCAACCTCTAGTTAAAATAATACAAGAGGACAAGGCAATGGAGGGTCCGGGGAGGGGGTGCATTTTATTTTATGTTGCTTTAAAATTGCTCTAGGAGCTACTTTTATTAAAATTCTCTAATTTTTACATTTTCTAACTGGGTATGTCAGTGTAACAATTGTCCAAACCTGTGGAGAACTTTTATGAATTTATTTAATCAAACCGATGACAATTGCTGGGAAGCACAAAATTTCCATGGATTGAGAAAAGGCTCTAAAGAATGGCAGTTTTGTGGCTTATTTTATATATTACAATCAAAGGAGGATATGTAAAGAGTGTTATATGAGATCTATTGGTGGTAGGATAAGAGGATGGGAGAAAGCAAATGAGGGCAGAAATCTCTGGGACTCAACAAAAAGTAAAATGAAAAGACCAGTACTATTTTTATGTTAGTGGGTATAAGATAGTTAATTAGCATTTACAGCACATAGAAATGGTATTCAGGGAACAAGATACCAATGAGAGGTCCTGTGGTCTCCTGCTCTGGTGTGGAGGTGGTGCCCTGAGGGGTCTGGAAAAGATTACTCTGACATTTCAAAGGTTTGTTATCTGAAGTGCAAAAAGGCAATAGACAGGCTCACTTAAGGTAAAGACTGACCTTTGCCAAGAAAGCTACAGCCCTACCTGTCATGGCTTGCTTTTAGTTGGGAATTTTTATATCTAAACCATCTTATGTGGTTACTTTTTTAAAAAAGATTTTATTTATTTATTTTTAGAGAGGGGAAGGGAGAGAGAAGAAAGGGAGAGAAATATCAATGTGTGGTTGCCTCTCTTGTGCCCCCTACTGTGGACGTGGCCTGCAACCCAGGCATGTGCCCTGATGGGGAATCAAACCAGTGACCCTTTGATTCTCAGGCCAGCACTCAGTCCACTGAGCCACACCAGCCAGGGCTTTATGTGGTTACTTTTAGTCCCTGGGTTTGTAAGGCCACCATGCAGACCTCTCCTCAGCTTTTCAGGTTTAGTATGTGACCCCTGTTTCATCCACAGATAAATACTGTCTATTATCTATCTAAGTATGAACATCTGTATAGAATTGTTAAATACATGGGTAACTAGATTTATGACATGGACTCTGAGTGACTTCTGCTTTCAAATGAACACTTCATATCACCCATCTTTATACTAAGAAAACTTATCCATGTGAAATCAGCCCAGGATTCTTTGAAATCATGTTTCATTTGACCTTTTGTCTTGCTATGAATAAAAAGGACAAATAATGTCTAAAAATTTAAATATTTAAAATAAAAATTTTCTCATACATTAGAAAGCTGACATTTGAGATTATCCCCATATTAAATTAACCCAAGGTGCAGTTCCAAGGCAAACAATGTGTCTGAAAGAAGTCATCTGCTTCCTGAATTCGTGTCATTATTTTACCTACAGGAAGATAATAAATCAATATCCTGAAGAAAAGAGGGCAGTTTTCTATTTATTAGCTTTCCCATGGGAATTCCCTTCAAAATAAATGATGTACTTACATCATTAAAAGACATGCTTACCTAGTTAAAGAAATCACTAGAAGACCAACATATTGCCTAGAATGGAAACAAAATACCTAGCTCTCAGAGCAAGGCTCTCAGCAGCAAACCCATCAGGCATTCATCCAACCAGAGATGAACACAAAGCATGATCTCTGCCCCAGACAGCTTTCCATGTACGAGAGAAAGAAGCTAGAACAAGCCATACCCGTGGGGCTGAGGCTCCCATCGGGGTAGCTGCTTGGTAAGCAGGTCACAGGAGAAGCAAGGCGATTTGAGTAGGTGACAAGTTTTTAGGAAAATGACACTACTGTGGTAGTGTCTAGGAAAGGACAAACTAAATTAGAATTGTTAAAGAACACAATTCACTCTAGTAAATTTAAAGATCTAATTGACTCCAGTAAGTGAGTCACAAATTGGGCAGCATCCCACCTAGCACTTAGAAGTGTGCTCCCAGGGGTTGTACAAAATGGAAGGAAAGAAGGGTGGGCTGAGGAACCATTTAAAATAGAACTGAAAAGGAAATGAGCATCTGGAGTGTGGCAGGGGAAGGGGGGCCGTCACCGTGTCCCTGCAGGCTGATTTTGATGAGGCAGCTGAGGATGTGAAGAAGCTGAAAACAAGGCCAGATGATGAAGAACTGGAAGAACTCTATGGGCTCTACAAACAATCCGTAATTGGAGACATTGATATTGGGTATCCAGGAATGTTAGAGTTACAAGGCAAGACTGAGTGGGAAGCATGGAACCTCCAAAAAGAATCATCAAAGGAAGACGCCACGAGTGCCTATATTTCTAAAGCAAAAGAGCTGATAGAAAAATACAGAATTTATAATCCAGCATATGAAAAAACTTTCCCTTCGAAGCCTTCATAATGGTATCATGACCTAATATTAGGGGGAAAACGCAATGTTAACTCTTCATATCACGAATGTTTTTGCTAGTAACATGAATTATAATCCTTAATTAAGAGATATAATGAAACTACATATTTAAGGAAATTTTACTCGCTAAAACAAGGTGAAGGTTTCTTACATTTAAAAAGTTATCTTTAGCCCTTGCTGGTGTGGTTCAGTGGACTGAGTGCTGGCCTGTGAACTGAAAGGTCTCTGGTTCAATTCCTGGTCAGGGCACATACATGGGTTTTGGGCCAGGTCCCTGGTTGGGGGCATGTGAGAGGCAGCCAATTGATGTTTCTCTTGCACATAGATGTTTCTCTCCCTTTCTTTCTCCCTTCCCTTCTCTCTAAAAATAAATAAATAAAATCTTTAAAAAGTAGAACCAAAAAGGTTATTTTTAGACCAGGACCTCTTTTTCATGGGGTGGGGGAGAATCTGCAAGGACTTTTATCAGACAGATTGCTTCTTCTTTCTATGGGAGGAAGGGATGGAGAGGGTCTGCCTGACAGATTACGTCATTCAGGTTAACTGGAAAATTTCAGACCGGTTATTAAGATTATATTTCTGAGAGAGGTTAAAATAGTAGTTAAGTCAGGTATTAAATCTCGGTTTAGTGTCATGGGCTTTAGCACTAGTAATTACATTTGGGGGCTTGTAGTTTTATTTTTAACGAGATGTAGGAAAAAACCTCTCATAGAAATGGGATTGGAGCTGGACTTACAGGGTAAGGAGCCAGCTATGCAAAGATCTGGAAGAAGAACATTCCAGACAGAAGACAGTGTGGACACCTAGAATGTGAGGTAGGAGGAGGCAGCAGGATAGAGGAAAATCAGAGGTACCCAACAAATGAGCAAAGGCAGGAATTGATGCAATAAGATCAGAAAGGGAGACAAGAAATAAAAGCTAATCTGTCCGTTCTGACAAAAAAAAAAAGTTTTATGGGTGGCTCATTGGAGAGGCCACACTTGGATATACAGAGCTAGGTGGGGCTCTTTAACTTGAATTCAGCCCACCCCACATACAAACAGCCTGACAATAAGCCATGGCCCAATGCCTCTCTTACTTGCCAAGATAGTGATGCAACTCATCCTTTACTACATGCTCTTCCTCTGCTTTGTCCTTTTGGTTCCCTAAACTCTGGTCTACTACTCTTGTAATTCACCCCAGACTCTCTGATTCCAAACTATCTGCTGGAAACACATATCTCTGCCCTTAGTCTGGGCCAAAAGGGACCAGAGTAGCCAAGCCTGTCCAAACAGCTGCCTGCCAAGGGAAAGGAACTGGATAAAAAGAAGACACCCCCATCCTCCAACTGCAGCCTAGTAACTGTGAATGGATTGAAGGAGCCCTGGGCAGGAAGAATGGCTGCCATGGAATAGAAACCAGAGCTACACGGGAATCCAGGGAAGGCCACAAATTCTAGTAGAGGAAAAGACGGTGGGTGTGGCCTGGTATCTTAACTCTGTTCTTCCTCTCTGCCTCTCAGAAGTTGGCAGCTTTGTTAGTGTATCGAGTCCCATATTCTCTCTGATAAGGCAGCTGTTGGAAGTTGTCTCCATCACTAGACTAACCTGCAAGAACCACATGTATTCATCTTTGTATCTTCAGTGGGTAGGATGTTGCTCAAGTAACATTCGTTAAAAAATTAGAGATGTGCAATGATATATGTCTGTGATGTTCCTTACAGCATTATAATAAAAATCAGAAATTGTCTAAACATCCAAAGATGAGGTCAATTTTGTTACAATCATAATACAGAGAATTATATGATGAAAATTTTGTTTTAGGAAACACGCATTTTATGGAAAATAATTGATAACAGAGGAATGAGAGAGAGCGAGAGAGAGACTTATTTTCTCTCCAGATTTACTCTCAACTTTACTTCACAGGGTGGTGATAGGGCCTAGTTTCCCTGGGACTGTCCCAGTTTATGCTATTTTGGGGGTTCATTGGCATCATAAGCGACTCACTCCTTCTTGCTCTCAAAAGTGTCCTTATTCTCATAATGGATTTTAAAGTCACTCTTTAGCTCTGCTTTCATCAAGGAGCCCCAGATGTGTAGGCATGATAGCCTTGTCTCTTGTGTCCTGGCTTCTAGCTGGGCTGATCCAGGAGTAGAACTAACTGGTGACTGACAGTAGGGAGAAAGCCACAGAGGCACAAGAGTTTATTCCTCCAGCTCCCTCTCTGCAAAGCCAGTCTGGTCCTGTTGTACCTCTCTGCCAAAAAGCCAGGCAGCTGTCTTCACATAGTCTCTCCATCTCCAGGTCCTGGATTCCTCCCTCTCATTACCCCATTAGGCTTCTAGGTCAAGTCAGGCTCCTTGCTGTTTTCCCTGATCCTTCCAGTTACTCCTGTCCCTTCCAGTTTACCTACAAGCAACCCATATCTTTATAAAGAGGCTCTTTATGAAACTCCTCAGATTGTCCCAACTGAGTGTACCATCTGTTTTTTACTGGCACCTGGCTGATTAACAGAGACACAGAAACAGAAGAAAAAAAGAGAGAGAGAGAGAAAAGAAAGAAAGAAAGAAAGAAAGAAAGAAAGAAAGAAAGAAAGAAAGAAAGAAAGAAAGAAAGAAAGGAAGAGAGAAAGAAAAGAAAGAAAGGGAAGGAAGGAAGGAAGGAAAGAAAGAAAGAAAGAAAGAAAGAAAGAAAGAAAGAAAGAAAGGAAAGAAGGAAGGAAGGAAAGAAAGAAAGAAAGAAAGAAAGAAAGAAAGGAAGGAAGGAAGGAAGGAAGGAAGGAAGGAAGGAAGGAAGGAAGGAAGGAAGGAAGGAAGAAAGGAGAGAAAGAGAAGAGAAAGAGAGAAAGAAAGAAAGAAAGAAAGAAAGAAAGAGAGAGAGAGAGAGAAGAGAAGAGAAAGAAGGAAGAGAAAGAGAGAAAGAGAAGGAAGAAAGGAAGGAAGAAAGAAAGAAAGAAAGAAAGAAAGAAAGAAAGAAAGAAAGGAAGAAAGAAAGAAAGGAAGAAAGGAAGGAAGAAAGGAAGAAAGAAAGGAAGAAAGGAAGAAAGAAAAGATCACCAAAGTGTTCTCAGTGGTTGCCTCCATGGTGCAAGTATGGGTGATATTCTAAGGCCTTCATGTTTGACATTGTCTCATTTTTTTTCCATTTAGCTTGTATTTAGTGTTTAGACAAATGATACAAAATAAGGTGCAAATTCTCTGAAGAAACTGACAAATTAGTGAAATACCTTTCTCTGACCTCTAGAATCAGAGTTCATGTTCAAGCTTGATTCATGTCCACATTAAATGTGCTGCTTACGAATGTATGTTCAGTTTAAAGATCATTACTGTTATGTTTGGCATTTATAGAACCATCGCTATGACATCCTGTTTATATCCATTATTTTACTTAATCCTCACAACAACCATAGGTAGGTGTTTTTAATCCCATATTACAGGAGAGAAAATGAAAGCTCATAGAAATTCTGTCATCTGCCCAAGGCCATTTAGGTAAAAAGAGACAGAGCCAAGGTTTAAGCCCACACTCTCAGTCCGTGCTTCCCAGAAATAACACAGACATGCACATAGACAAGTTAATTAGAGCACGATATAAAATCCCTTCGAGAACAGATTGCTTTTTTGTTCTAAAAGAATTAATTGGCCTTTTGATTATGTAAATATCAAGTAAGAAAAATTCTATTCTCTTTGTCTTTAAGAATGGATAGGCCTTGGATAGGAGAGCTATATTGGAGGGGACTCTTATTAGTAGTGGCCCAAGAATTTAGACATGGTGGCGACCAAGATTAAGGGGAAAAGCTACCAGCAGGCAACCCTGGTAGAGTGCTATCTACGAGGTATCATTTGCATGATTTCTGCATTGTGATACCCATTTGGTTTTCCCTGCTCTTCAGTATATCTTGTTAATATAGTTTGTTCTCATCCAGCCTGAGGTGAATGAACTATAATCTGTTTCCTCATGTAGCATGAAATGGCTTAGGGAAAGGAAGAGAAGGCCAGTACGGATGCGGAGCAGTGATCCGGAGCCAGACCACTGGCTAGGTCAGATGACCTCCAGAACCAAGCTCTGGGAACACATGCCCTCGGGATTCTCAGAGATCTGTGGGGTGACAACCCTGGTGAGGCACGCACTGGAATTTCTGTAGTCAGGCAAGATGAGGCTCTTGCAGTCTTAACCTGAGTATAAAAAAGAAATGTGAGCTCAGTGTGCGATCAGTTTTTATGAATATGTGAATGTAAGATATACATATCAGCCAATCTCCTAAATCAAAAATTATGTATTGACTTAGTTTCTTTAATAATTGAGGATGGTAATGAGGCTGGACCTTTAGTCAGATGCTTATTGGAAGTTGTATTCATCTTAGTGTGTTCTACTACTTTTATGCTTTCAGTTTTTAAATTTCAATGCTAATACATCTGAAATTTATTTTGAATTTTTACCCACTGTCTGAAGTCTACTTATTGAATACATCCTTTCCCAGATGAATTGAGATATCCCATTTTTGGAGCTTTAAAATATTACACATATGTGTGTATCTATTTCTGTTCCGCTTTCCTCAAATTTGTTAGGAAAAGATTTATCTTGCAAGATGCATTTTTAAAAGAATTCTGAGGTCAAATAAGCCTAAGAACTATTGTGTATAATAACTCCTTAGAAACTCACAATGTATATCAGTAAATTAAACATCTGGAGCAGTCCTAACACCTTTACACAACTGACGGTCTTAAGGTTCCTTGATGCACATCTGTATATTGTTCTATTCTGTTCTATGGATTCACCTCACTATTACAATACCAGTAGGGGAAAAAAACTTGGTGGAATTATTATTGCTTTATAGCAAATGCTACTATCTTTTAGGAAAAGTACCCATATTGCTTCTTGTTTTCAAAATTGGTTTGGTGAATTTGAGCATGGTTTTGCTTACTAAAATATTTAGAATAATAGTGTTGCATTTTAATATCCCATCCATTAGTATCCTCATTATGTTCACCTAAATTCAGAACAATTTGGGGTAGA